ACAAAACTAAGACAGTAGCAACACTTAGTCCAACACTACCGTATCATGTACATCAAATTAGCTGTTTAATATAAATCGGCAGTTTTTATGTTTACTAATCAATTCTCCAAGAAGATTTGTTTAATTCTCGTAAATCCTTAAAATATTGCGCCTCAAAGCGTTTTGACGAAAATATTTAAGGTGGTTGAACTGAATTTGAAATGGGAGGTCTACAAGTGACGTAGTAAGGGTATCTTGATCCTGATTGGTTGTTGAAATGTGATATTTGTTTGCGTTAGTGACTGTTTTTTCCATTCTATTTTAAGTAAGCCCGCCAAGTATCAATTCCCTTAAATGACACATTCTATATTCTTTCACGAAGATTTCAATTCTTTCACTATACATTTCTTATTTAACATAAAGACAGGCACGAAGCTATGTGGAACATAAACAAGAATTATGCAAAGATGCCAGGTACACAAACAAAAATATATCACAGTTAGAATAAAGTACACAGACAAATAATAAATCTTAATTTAGTTAAAGTTGCAGACGAGAAAAAATTATAATTAATTAATTCGATGTGCGATACGGCTCTGTGATTAATTAACTTGACGTTAATTAATATTCTAACTTGTGTGGAAAAACTCAACTCAACTTTAACACGCCATTTTGTTTATAAGCTATCAGCTGTCGCTGACGTCTTAGGTCACATGTGTGGGTATCAGTGATCTTCTTCTTTGAGTGCAGAAACCCAATTGTAGTGTCACAATTAACAGAAAATACGGCGTGAGTTCTAAAAATTTATTTCAAAACTTAATGCACAAATACACACATTTTTAAATAAGAAATTAAAAAAAAAACATTTCCTTTCATGAAGAAAATCAGAAGAGAAAGCAGAACAGAAAACAGAACAGATAGTGCTTAACTCGATCAAGATATTTAACTATAGCTAGAAACATTTTTTAAGAAATTCTGCTTTGAGCTCTGTTTTGTTAAAATATGCTGGCTACGTTTCTTTGAAGCAAATTCACTACCACTATTCAAAAAAGAAATATTATTATTATTCGATAATAATTATTATTATTCTCCTATGAAAAATTGGTCGATATTAAAATAATTAATCCAATATTAAAAATATGATTTGTATAAGAAAAAAAAGTTCTGTAAAAACTTTATTCAATCTACAAGCATAGCCCAGCTAAATTTATAATAAAGGGTGATCAATTTAGCACTTCGCATTTTTTGAGTGCTATTAGAACCATGTTGTTTCTCTAATTTCAACAAAATTTAACATTTGTGTATAGTGTTTTTTGTCAAGCCACCATGGAAAGAAATACAGCAGCATATAGAATTTATTATAATTTATTATAAAAGCAATGAACCTATTCGTGTTTTGTTTCGCACATTATAGACAAAGTAATCGATTTACAGAGCTAAAACTCGTAGTTTAATTGAAAAATTTGACTCTAATGGTATTATTGAATAATCCGAAATACGAACAAAAACCTTAAAACCTATTTTTTTTGTGTAATTAGTTTAACAAGGGCAGATTTATGAGGAAAAGTGGTAAATATTTGAAGATTCAGGATTGAATTTGTTAAAAAAATCTAGAGGCTGATGCATGAAATAATTTTCGAATTAAAATACCATAAGCCAATAACTAAAATAGAAAAAAAAATCACATGAATATCATTTACTGTTTTTTTTCCATATTGAAAATACATGGCGTGTCACAATTCTCTCCGCGATTTGGAAGGTTTATAACAAATAAAAAATTACCAATGCATCAACAAATTTTATTTTACCTGATAAAAAAAAACATCAATCAAACAACAACTATCGTTCAATATGGAGTCGTGGTGGCTCAATGGATAGAGAGTAGTTACATCGTTTGGATTAGACGCGGGTTGGACGACGACATTTGACTTTTTCCATGAACACCGCCCTCTCCAGACTTTACTCCCTGTGATTTTTTTAAGAGGTTAAATCAAAGAGGTTTTCGTGCCCCCTATGAATCGCAATTTTATTTAACAAAAGATTGTGGCATGTTGCAGTGAGTGTGGCGACAATTTAACTTTAGGCTTAAAGTCTTTTACTTCACCAAAGATTCACATTTGTGAAAAAAAAAACAACTTGCGATATTTCTTAATCAGGTAAAATAAAATTTTTTAATCTATTGATAATATTTCGTTTGTTATAAGTTTTCCAAACCCCGGAGTGAGTTATGACACATTTTGTATATAGCTCCTATTTAATCACCCTTTACCATTAGAAAAATTATTTTCGAGCATGTATACCGTAAAATTGTTGGGTTATACTGTTAGTGATCTAACCCCTTTTATTCATCTTAATGCCCAGGTCATATTTTTTCAATAATAATATTCCATGAAAGAAAATTAAAAGTCGGGAAATGAACAGGAAAAATATTTACAAAATTCCTGCTTTAAAATATCTTGTTTCATTCGAAGAAAATCATTTTAGAACGCCATTCAGAATGCCAAAAAAAAAAAAAATCGGTATATAAATAAAATAATAATAGTAATTTAAAATAAAAAAAAAAGGAAATGTGAGATTTCATTAAAAAAAGTATTATCACAGTTATTTTCGTGAAAATATTGCTCTAATTAAGCTAATTAATTAATAAATAATGAAACAAACTTATTACTTTTTTAGACGCACTTGATTCAGGGTAGTTACAAACAAACAGAAAAAAAAAATCTCTACCTGTTTCAGAATGATCTTATTGCTTTTTCCTAATTTTTGTAACAAATGGCATGAATTTTATCATTAATTTTTTTGCTATACCTTATTCTTGTACATAAAATATAGCATAAAACGTTTATGAATATTTTCTATTAGAGTATAAAATGAGCATCATTAAGAACTATCCATTAAGACCATTTTTTTTGTTAAAAAAAATACTGTTTTCCATATCTCAAACTTAATTTATTTTCTATGACTTCTTAGGCGTTTAAATTTAATGCCATGACATTTTACTGTTTTCCCTGGCTTTTATGTTCTTAGCCGCATAATTACTACCTTTAACAGATACAATGTAAAAAGCTCAGGATCAAATTACGGTAAAAAGTACAGGAGTTTTGGGTACCAGTTCTTTTAACCGTAAAATTGAGCGGCACAAAAAATCTTTTATACAGTAATTTCTATAGTAATATTTATTGTAAAATCACCGAATCACTTTAATTAAATAAGTATACTGAATTATGGCATTAACTTTTGCGGTAAAAATGGAGTTTACGGCAAAATGGATTCTAAGGATGCTGCACTTAGGGTGCCAGTATTTTTTACCGTAATCTAATCCAACATTTTTTACGGTGTACAATTTAGTATAAGGCAAATTCATGCTGAAAAATTCTTTCTTTCAAATTTATGCATTTCACAGGCGTTTATAGAAATACTCCTGATGAAGTTTCTAATCATGAATCATTCCTAGCGCCCCATTTAATCATTTATGATACATTGTGTCTTATGACTCTTTTATGGGTTATGAATCATATTTGATGCTTTTCTGATCAAGAACCCGTTCCTGATGCTTCTCCTACTTTGAATGATTCTTGATGCATTCCCTAATCGTGAATCATTCCTAATGCATTCCCTATTAATAAACGATTCCTGATGCATTCCCTAGTCATGAATCATTCCTAATGTATTTTTAGAGTCGTTTTTAAAAAGCGGCTCAATGCGTTTCAATGCAGTTTATTTTCTCGCCAAATTCATTTTAGACAAAAACATATGGATTCTGTGTCGAACATTTTTAATGAGTTTTGTATCCTTAAAAAAATAAAAGTAAGACCGGTGGAAAAAATAATTCCGGAAAGAGTTTAAGTTGCGCGACTAAATTTCCCACAACCATTCAGTAACTGTAACTGCTACGAAGTAGCAAGAGAGAGAAGAAGGAAAAAAAATGGAGTAAATTTGTTGTTATCTCCGTACTTCCGTTAGTATTTTGGAGCGTTGAGAGGTTCTGGTTGACTATCGCAATCGCTGAGGGAGCTGACATCTCTCAACGATAAGATTACTTTAACTAATATTTAATATCGCCAATAATTTTTCTGTCACTTTAACCGCGCCATATGTATGGACTTCCGCTGAAGGTGAAGATCACTTATTTTTTTTTTATCCACAACTTCCAAGATCGTTGAACTTAATTTGTTTTCATTTAGTTTTTAATAGGAGAGAATAAAATCGGATCACTGTTCAAGGTGATTTCTTTTTTCCTTTTAAACATGTTTATCTTTTTTTGTAAAATTAAATAAAATGACTTTTTTAAATAGTCTTTTTATTTAAAAGAATGTATAATTTATTTATAAAGAATTTATAAAGAATATTTTAAATAAACTTTTAAATAATTAAATCATAAATAATTCAATTTATTAAAAATATAAATTTTTCATTTGTAGCATAAATTGAAGATGAAAGTGTAAGTCAACAAATGTGACATGAAGTTAATGTTTTCAAATCTGACCAGGCCAACAGTACTAACAACGCGCTTTTATTTTTATTTTAAATGCGCTTTTATTGAAAACACCTTTCTCAAGCTGATTGTAAAAGAGCTATTAAATTGTAAAACAGCAAATTTCTCTTTAAGAGAATTGACCCAGACCCAGAATCCGTTCTATACGACAAATTATTATTAATTTTTTTTTTAGAAAATTGTGGCAATAGCCTGAATTAGAGTTTGATTTGTAATTTAGAATTTTTTACTTCTCAGGTAAACTGCGCAAAAAAAAAGAAAAAAAAGAATGAGAGAGAGAGAAAAGAAATGGGGAAAAAAGAAAAAAACATTTTATTTGTTTGGTGAATAATTTTATAATTTTATCACATCTGGGAGGGTGGCCGGAGACAAAACTAAACTGAATTTTTATCTTATTCTAGTTCACTGCATGATTTAAACATTTTTTTAAGATGATTTTATCTCATATTGAAATTCATACTGATGATTATAATATATATGTTCTGTAGTGTTTATTGAAATAAATAATCTCTCTTTTGTTTTCTAGAATGTGCATAGTCCTCAATATCTGGATGAACGATACAGACCATACAGCGCAGAGCCACAGAGATTCAGTCCATTAAGCGGTAAGATATATGCTCACTATAGTGCTTCGTCAACAATCTCTGTATAAGAAGAAAACTTTTAAATTGTTTTTTATTTATTTTTTATTTTTAAAAATGCACTATTCGTTTTCATCATAAATCTGGATATGTATAATATGGTGCATTGTGATCTCTCTTTCTCTTTATATACATCATATATATATACTACCTCAGAATAATGGAAATGACACTTTCACTTTTTGGCATTTTTTTAAAGTTTCCCAAGAAATACCAGAGGATTATTTTGTAACTCTAGAGTTGTTTTGTTAATGTGATATTTCATACTTTGCAATAAGGTTTAAAGCTTTCAAAGGTTTGAGGTGCCGGAAGTAAATTAAGAAAGGAAACCAACTAATAGGAAGGAAAACTATCGTTTTTGATCGTTTCTTAACATAGAAGGTAATAGTAAGCGAAAAAAACTGCCCTAATTCACTGGGGTAAGATGGGGATCATGTACGAAAAGGTTCGCTTAATATGCTTGCTGTTTTCGTTTGTTGACATAGAATGTAATTTTATGCGATTAAGTTGTTTAAAAATGCGTTATTGTTCTAATCGTAAAAAACAAAAGTGAATGGAATTTTTTAAAAAAAATACTAGTTCGTTATCGTTTTTAAACGTAGAAAGCAATAGTGCACTAAGAAGTTGTTTTTAAACACTTGTTCTTGAATATAAAAATTAATTACCTCTTAAGTAGTTTTCTTAATGCTTACTCTTTATCTCTTCTAAATCTTCAATTTAATAATGAAAGAACATTTGTTTCTTAATATGCTTGTTCGTAATCGATAGTAAACGTTCACCTTTCGCAGCAAATAGGACATATTCCCTTTTATATATATATTTTTTTGATTTTCCAATTTGAAGCAAAAGTACATTTTGGTAATTGTTTGTTAACAGTTGTTTTAAGTATAAAAAGTCCATTAGATTATCGGAATTACTTACATTAAAAATTAAAATCCAAAAAGAATAGTTTGAAATTTTTTTTCATTTATATTTAAAAATTTATCATTAATTGATTTTGTAAATTAAGGAAATTTCAATGATAAATAACTGTTTCTCTTAGATCTAAATAGCTGCAACTAAGTGCAAATTTGAAAAATTATTGTTTTGAAGTGAGTCATGTTTGGAAAATTTTACCTTTGACGCAGAAAAAGACAACGGTATTTCATGCCGTATTTTATAACCGTAAATTATTAAAATGCTAAATGATACAATAGATTTTTCACTTATTTTCTCCTAAATAAATTCAAAAAAATGAAAAAAGTATGAAAAATATGTTTAATAAAAATTCTGAGTCAAAAGGTGAAGGAGATAGTATACAAAATAAAGTTAATAGTTAGTATGAATGCACTTAAGTTAGAATTTTTTTATGTATTTAATTATTTATTGGCAAAGCAATATGATTTAACATGTTCATAGCAATCAATGAAAAATGCGAAAATAAAGCAAAAGCTGCGATGTTAATTCTACAAACATCCAACAGTTAAAAAACCTTATTCATAAATTTTTAATTATTTGACTTTAATTAATTAATTTTTGTAAAAGTGTTTCTCGTAAACCATACACTTTTTCTCAAAAAGAGAATGTGGCGATGATAAAATATGTGGCTTTTTTCATTGCAGTAATACAGTTTTTCGAGAATAACTGCAGAAAATAAAAACATTTGCATGACAGCACATTTTGCTATCACAAAGTGATAATACATTCTTTAACAAAAGAATTTATTAAAATTTTATTAACAATGCTCAATACCCTCACGACTTTTGGAAAGAACACCAACTTACGTGATATAATTATCAAAAATCAGTGCTATTAACTCGTTTTGTGTTTTGAAATATCTATTCTTTGACACCAAAGTTGAAATAGAAATGGAAAAATGAGATCTCTCGAGGGCTTTTTAATAGCTTCGAAATGGATATCTTAGGATAAAGGTGTAAATTACTGAGGATGTCGAGGCTAAAAATAGAACTATCAAAAGTTCTATTGTCACAGTGAACTCCACCCTTTCATTATCATTTGTACTATGCTATTGATTGTATTAATAATGTGCATCGATTGATGCATCTTAAAAAGATAACAAATAAATCGTGAGTTAAATAGTTTTTGTGTAATAAAAGAATATACTTAGTTGCATAATAATATGTCGATAAATACATATATACACACATACGTCACAGTTGAAGTGTAATAATTTACTTATTTAATAGAATAACTAGGTATTTCATGAAAGACTAGAAAAGTTACGAGCATCATTTTGGCTAGATATAGTTTTAAATTAATAAAAATATTGTAAGATATGCTATTGTTCGTATTCATAATGGACATCTATTTTTACATCGTAAAGAGATAATGAATAAATCACGAGTTAATTAGTTTTTGGGTGATAAAAGAATATGTTAATTTGTAATAAAATTTGTCTTTTCTAACTCAGTTTAAAATGTATGTGTACATGTGGTCTATGGCTAATTTTATTTCATCTGTAACCGACGGAAAGAAGGAAAACGGCGGTTAAACATATAAATTGAAATAATGTGTGCTTTTTATTTTACTGAAAATATTCCTTAAGAGGTACAATCTTTTAAAAGCGAGCCGCTGTAGCTTAGAGAATAGATCGTTCGCCTCTCATTGAGGTGTTCAGGTTCGAATCCTAGCGATGGCTGGTTGATACGAATTCTGCTCCCGGATCGCACCGACCACAGTGCTGACGAAAAACAGCCCCAAGGGTAGACGGATTGGATTAGAATCCCTTGCCTTCGGAAGAAACAACTGGGATGTTTTCGTGGTTTTTGTCTCCACGTAACGCAACTGCGGCTTAGTTCCCTTAAAAACTCCTCCGCAAAGGTGGGTTTGTACCGATGATTGATCAAGGATGTCGCTTGTTATCTGATTTGCTTTCAAAATTGCAAGGCTATAAAGTTGAACCACTCAAAAATTGGATCGACTGGTGGCGTAACTACCACTACGAATATTAAACATCAATTCACTGGTATATAAGACATGCTAACTTGATTCAATCACAAGAGGTACCTTTTGATAGATGAAGGTTGGCTTGGTCGATAACTCCGCCCCCACATTGGTGACCTCCAGACGTGATTTGAACACGCAGTAACACCCACTTCAGCCTGGTAACGCTTACTTCGAAGAATGATCCACATTGAACAGTCGACTTGCTACTTGTGACTGCAACATCATCCACCTCCTCACTCTGTTGCTGCTCAGTCTCGTCTCGAACAAACACACAACGTCTGCCAGCATACACTCGACTGCTAAAGGCAACACAGGAGTGACCACGTCTGTGAAGTTAATTTAACCCCGATTTTATAATAAGAATAAAATAACTACATTCTATAAAAATATTGAAGTAGCTCGGGTGTAAAGTATTCGCCTCGCTCAAATCCCTGTGACGGCTGGCCTGCTCATGTCTCGCACCGACCACATAAATGTACTTAGTGGTATATGGATGAATGGTTAAAAACCCATTGCTTTCAGGTTAATCGGGAGAGGGAAAAGCAGTTGCGGTTTAGTCTCGTCAAATATGTCCTTCATGACTGGTTTATCTCAATACTTGATCCAGAATTTCACTCGTCTTCTGGGTTGGATTCAAAATTAAAAGTCTTTGGAGTTGTGCATTAATAGTCGTAAACTCAGAATCGGGTCGGCTTTTCGTCACTGGTTATAAAATAAAATAAAATCTATTAAAGGCAATAATTTATCGAAAAAATTAAAAAGGTCTTAAAATATTATATTTAGCATTTTAATAAGTTATGGTTACAAAATACGGCATGAAACAATGGCGTCTGTTCCTGCTGTTAATGGTAAAATCTTCGAAACGTGGCTCACTTAGAAAACAATAATTTTTCTAATTTGCCCTTATTTGCAGTTATTTAGACTTGAGAGAAACAGTTATTTAGCATAGAAATTTCTTTAATCTACAAAATCAGATATTAATAATTTTTTTGAATATGAATTAAAAATTTTTTTCTTTGAACTTTTACTTTTCTTGAACTTTATATTTTAGTACAAATATAATTCTGATAATCTAACAGATTGTTTTTAGTAACTATTTGATTGTTTTTTATATTTAAAAAATACCAAAATACATTTTTACTTGGAATTAGTGTGACCGAAAAAATATATAAAAGAGACACCAGTGTGTCATCTGCGTCAAAGAATTAATTCAATTAAGATCAAAGAGCCATGGTGGCTCAGGGGATAGAGCGTTCGACTCAAAATGTTGTTCGACTCTCAAACCCGGGTTTGAAATCCAGCGATGGCTGATCGATACGAATTCCGCAAATGCGGGTTAGTTTCATCAAAAAGTCTTTAAGTCCTCCACAAAGGCAAATTTCTCTCAATTTTTGATCCAGGAGTTCCTTTGTCTTCTGAATAGGGTTTAAAATTACAATGCTTGGGAGTTGGACATTGGTAATCGTAAACTCAGTATTGGGTAGGCTGTTCAGCCCCGGTTATAAAATAAAATATAATTAAGTTCAAATTATTAAAAAGATAATAATTTTTTAAAAATTACTGTGTCTGGATTTTTAAAAATAAAATTTAACGAGTCTGCCAACAGCAAGAAGAAAAATGTTATAGTAAAGGATGTAAAGCAAATATCGAAGAAAAATAGTGCGTGGAGTCCCTCCGCCCGGAAGAAGTTAAACTTCGCAACCTGCGACGTTAATTGTAGAAGAATCAGCAGTCGTAGAAGGATCTATTCAACGACTCTTTTTCTTGATCCGCTCGCTGCCGTGCTCTGTAATCACGGTAATATTGTGCATTTTTCCCTCGTGGACCTCTTGAACCAGTGGAAGTGCTTGTGATTGCCTCATCGTCTCGCCCAGGAAAATGTATTAATAATGTATGTGAATGCGTCATAATGTAATTTCAGAAGAGAAAACTTAACAATCAATAGATATTCACAAGAGACGTACCTTGACATAACCTTAAAACCGTCGCATTGTCCGTGGGATTGTTTTCACTCATTT